TGGCCAGGCTGGTCTTGAACTCCTGACCGCAGGTGATCCACCCACCTCGGCCTCCCAAAGTGCTAGGATTACAGGCGTGAGCCACCGTGCCTGGCCTTGGTGACATTTTTTCTAGGCTGCAAAGTAAGACAAAATAATGATTTTGTAATTTTTCTGAGACGAGAAAACATGTTGGCGTTTTCTCTGATACTGAATTGAATAGCTGTAGCTGACCAAATAATAATACAAAACTTGTCAACTTTCAAAAAGCATTAATTACTGCCAGGAGCAGTGACTCACACTTGCAGTCCGAGCACTTTGGGAGGCCCAGGCAGGAGGCTTGCTTGAGGCCAGGAGTTGGAGACCAGCCTTGGTAGCATAGACCCCATCTCTTACCCACCCCTCAAAAAAAAAAAAAAAAAAAGTGTTACCATGAGTCCAGTCCTTAAAACAAAACTTTGTAATTTTTAGAGACGAAGTTTCACCTTGGTGACCAGACTGGTCTTGAACTCCTGACCTCATGATCCACCCACCTCTGCCTCCCAAAGTGCTGGGATTACAGGTGTGAGCCACTACTGGGATTACAGGCGTCAGCCACTGTGCCCGGCCTCAACAAAACTTAATTTGAATTCTCATAGAATGCCATGGTACCTGCCTTCAGGGAACACAGTGTCTAGTTGGAAGTGGCAGATATAAACTAATAATTATAGTTAGTTGTAGACAGAGAAAGATTCCTCAGCCTCCCGAGTAGCTGGGATCACAGGCATGTACCACCACGCCCCGCCTCCCCAAGCAATTCTCATGATGAATTGAATGTGGAACTCCTGGTCACGATAAAGAAGCTTCTGGGCCCGGCATGGTGATTTCATGCCTGTGATCCCAGCACTTTGGTAGGGGAGGCAGACCATAGGGTCAGGAGTTCGAGACCAGCCTGGCCAACGTGGTGAAACGCTGTCTCTACTAAAAGCACACAAAAAAATTAGCCAGGCACGGTGATTCATGCATGTAACCCCAGCTACTGGGGAGGCTGAGGCAGGAGAATTGCTTGAACCCAGGAGACGGAGTTTCTGGTGAGCTGGGGCACCAAGAGGGAAACTCCGTATCCAAAAAAAAAAAAAAAAATTGCTTTGGAAATTCAGGATAATTGGAGTCATTCCTGTCACGGAGTCATTCCTGTCATGTGTTTTCAGTGGTAATTCAAACCATTTAAGAATTTATGTGCTGGGTATAGTAGCTTATACCTGTAATCCCAGCACTTTGGGAAGCTGAGACAGATGGATCGCTTCAAGCTGGGAGTTCAAAACTAGCCTGGGCAGCACGGTAAAAGCCCCATACCTACTAAAAATTTAACTGTTATCAGGGCATGGTGGTGCACACCTGTATTCCTAGCTCTTCAGCAGGGACTGAGGCAGGAGGAGCACCTGAGCCTTGGGAGATCAAGGCTGCATGAGCTGTGATCCTGCTCCTGTGCTCCAGCTTGGGCTACAGAGTGCCACCCTGTCTCAAATAAAAAGAACTTGTGACAGAGTACTTGATGAAAAATGTACTTGAATGGTGATTCCAGATTTACTATGGTCATATGCTAAATTGTGCTTCTTGGACTAGTGGATCACAAATATTGGCCACCCCGTACCTACTAAACACCCTTGACCCCCTATTTTTCAGAAGCTTTCCAGGTAATATAATGGAATGACTAGCTGCTAGCCTATGAAAGCAACAAAAAAAAAATAAAATAAATAAAAAAATAGAATGACTAGCTAGGTTTAGAAAGCAAGAATTAAATACTTAATTCCCCAAGGCTGAAATCTGTACTGTCATCTTAGTTTTTTGCTTTAGCAAATCTAGATAATGAAAATTGTTTCTTTGAGATGGAAGCTCTTGTTCCCCAGGCTGGAGTGACACGATCTCAGCTCACTGTAAGCTCTGCCTCC